GCGAAATGGATAGTCAAGAAACAACTGATTACGCGAGGGGAAAAGATAACGTCCAACCTAACTCAACAACAGGCCACGGTGGTCAGGGACTCGGTTGCTAAATTCATTTATTCTAGCCTCTTCGATTGGCTTGTTGATAGGATCAACCAAGGTCTGGCTACCGATAGTATCCTGAACAAGTTCAAGTCTTTCATTGGCGTTTTGGATATTTACGGGTTCGAACATTTCGCGAAAAACTCTTTCGAGCAGTTTTGCATCAACTACGCCAATGAGAAGCTGCAGCAAGAGTTTAACCAGCACGTGTTCAAACTGGAACAGGAAGAATATGTGCGCGAGCAGATAGACTGGACTTTCATTGACTTTTCGGACAACCAACCTTGTATTGACCTAATTGAAGCAAAATTGGGTATCTTATCCCTTTTGGATGAAGAATCTCGGTTGCCTATGGGCTCAGATGAGCAATTCGTGACCAAACTGCACCACAATTTCGCCGCAGACAAGCAGAAATTCTACAAGAAGCCCCGGTTCGGCAAGTCCGCGTTTACGATATGTCACTATGCGGTCGATGTGACCTACGAGTCCGACGGCTTCATAGAAAAGAACCGGGACACTGTTCCAGACGAGCATTTGGAGATTCTGCGAGGCTCATCCAATGAGTTCGTGAAAGAAATTTTAGACACGGCAGCAGCCGTTCGCGAGAAAGATTCGGCATCTATCTCATCCAAGCCCGTGGCTGCCCCAGGTCGAAAAATTGGCGTTGCTGTCAATCGCAAGCCAACTCTGGGAGGAATTTTCAAATCATCATTGATTGAGCTCATGAACACAATCAACTCTACCGACGTGCACTACATACGCTGCATCAAACCTAATGAGGCTAAGGAGTCGTGGAAATTCGAAGGGCCGATGGTACTCAGTCAGCTGAGAGCCTGTGGTGTCCTTGAGACTGTACGGATCAGTACTGCTGGATATCCTACACGCTGGACATACGAGGAATTTGCAATCCGGTACTACATGCTTTGTCACTCATCGCAATGGACGTCAGAAATTAGGGACATGTGCCATGCCATTCTACAAAAAGCCCTTGGGGATGGCACCCAGCAAAAGCAAGATAAATACCAACTGGGTTTAACGAAGATATTCTTTCGAGCAGGCATGCTTGCTTTCCTCGAGAATCTTCGCACATCAAGATTGAATGGGTGTGCTGTTATGATACAGAAGAACCTTCGATGCAAGTACTACCGCCGCAGATATCTCGAGGCTCGTGCCTCTATCCTCACAACACAGGCTCTTATTAGAGGTTTCTTGGCAAGGCAACGTGCAGCTGAGATACGGCAGGTCAAGGCAGCTACGACTATTCAGAGGGTATGGCGAGGACAGAAGGAGCGGCGGAATTACAGCCGCATTCGTGCCAATTTCATTCTTTTCCAGTCAGTTGCGAAGGGATTCCTTTGCCGTCAGAATATCCTCGACACGATCCATGGCAATGCAGCCAAAGTAATACAGCGATCGTTCCGTTCCTGGCGACAGCTACGCGCCTGGAGACAATACCGCAGAAAAGTGATCATTGTCCAGAATCTCTGGAGAGGAAAGCAGGCCAGGAAAGAGTACAAAAAGCTCCGCGAGGATGCTCGGGACCTCAAACAGATCTCTTATAAGCTGGAAAATAAGGTGGTAGAGTTGACTCAGTACCTCGAATCCTTGAAGCGAGAAAATAAGTCACTCAACTCGCAACTGGAGAACTATGAGACACAAGTGAAGTCTTGGAGAAGCCGACACAATGTGCTCGAGAACCGTTCGAAAGAATTACAGGCCGAAGCAAACCAGGCAGGTATTACTGCTGCTCGCTTAACTGCCATGGAGGAGGAAATGAACAAGTTACAACAGCACCATAATGATGCGCAGGCAACCATCAAGCGTCTACAGGAAGAAGAGAAGGTCTCACGGGAATCGATTCGTACCGCAAACCAAGAGTTGGAGAAACTTCAGCAGCTGAATACTGATGCTGAAAACGAAAAGGCATCTCTTCGTCAGCAGATAGTCGATCTCGAAGAACAGCTTGAGCTTGCAAAGAGGGTTGTGCCTGCCAACGGCGTAAATGGAGACCAGCCGAACGGTGGGCCCATCCAGCCGCCTGCGAGCGGCTTGATAAACCTCGTTTCTTCCAAGAAGCCCAAGCCTAAAAGACGAAGTGCCGGTGCTGAGCGGATCGATATTGATCGTTTCAGTGGTGCCTATAACCCGAGGCCAGTGTCGATGGCCATTCCTAGCTCGGCTATGGGCCGCCAGCATTTCTCGGGAAATGCTTTCTCTCCAGGCCTGGACTCCGTTGAGGTAGAGCTCGAGAATTTGTTGTCTGAAGAAGATGAGCTCAATGAAGAGGTGACTATGGGCTTGATACGCAATTTGAAAATCCCACTACCCAGCTCTACGCCTCCACCAACGGAGAAGGAGGTCTTGTTCCCAGCTTATTTGATCAATTTAGTGACTTCCGAAATGTGGAACAATGGCTTTGTGAAAGAGTCCGAGCGTTTCTTAGCCAACGTCATGCAGTCAATCCAGCAAGAGGTTATGCAGCATGATGGAGAGGATGCCATTAATCCTGGAGCCTTCTGGCTTTCGAATGTCCACGAAATGTTGTCTTTCGTTTTCTTGGCCGAAGATTGGTATGAGGCACAAAAGACGGATAATTTCGAGTATGATCGTCTTTTAGAGATTGTGAAGCATGATCTCGAAAGCCTGGAGTTCAACATTTATCATACGTGGATGAAGGTATTGAAGAAGAAGCTTTACAAGATGATTGTACCGGCAATCATAGAATCCCAGTCCCTCCCTGGGTTCGTTACAAGCGAAACAAACAGGTTTCTTGGGAAGCTCTTACCCTCCAACAACAACCCAGCCTACAGTATGGATAACCTTCTCAGTCTCTTGAACAATGTCTACAAAGCAATGAAGGCTTTCTATTTGGAAGAGACTATAATCACACAGACGGTCACTGAGCTTCTCCGACTTGTCGGTGTCACTGCATTCAATGACCTTCTCATGCGGAGAAACTTTCTCTCCTGGAAACGTGGCCTGCAGATCAATTACAACATTACCCGCATCGAGGAGTGGTGCAAGAGCCATGATATGCCCGAGGGTACACTTCAGCTGGAGCATCTAATGGTAAGATACCTATCGAGACGATGGAATTGTTCTATCCGCTAAATTCATCTCTTTCTAGCAAGCGACCAAGCTTCTTCAGCTGAAGAAGGCCACCTTGAATGACATCGAGATTATTCAAGATATTTGTTGGATGTGAGTTCCGGTCAACTTTGTCCTGCTGAAATTCCATGCAGTACTGACAGGTTTAGGCTCTCGCCAAACCAAATCCAGAAACTCCTGAATCAGTATCTCGTGGCTGACTATGAGCAACCTATCAATGGTGAAATCATGAAAGCCGTGGCCTCCCGTGTCACCGAGAAGAGTGATGTTCTCCTCCTGACACCAGTTGACATGGAAGATAGTGGGCCGTATGAGATTGCGGAGCCACGTGTTATAACAGCCTTGGAGACATACACCCCGTCATGTAAGTGAGCTTCAGCGGAAAATGCACCGAGTGATGCTAACGGTCTCTGAAGGGCTTCAAACGCCGCGACTAAAGCGGCTGGCTGAAATCGTATCTGCCCAAGCAATGGCTCAGCAAGAGAGGCTGGAGATGACGGAAAGCGGCGCGGCGACGATGGAATAGACCTTGTATATGAACAACGGAGTACTAGCAATTTCATAGAAACCATGATGATGAGCGTTTGTATTGTGCTAGCCAGTTTATATTATAGTACATCTCTGTAGGCAGCCGAATGAAGGCCCCTCTTGAGTTGTTGCTCCATTGCAATTGAACCACACTACCGCCTGGTGGGGCTGCGGGGAAACAAGAATCTTAAGCGTTGGAGGACTGAACGAACCCTCGGCGGAACAGGTATATATATATCTAGCGCACCCCCGTCTATCCGTTCCTCTTTGTCTGCAGTCTGTCAACGAACAACCTACTATCTGGTTTTTTTTTTTTCTTGTTGCCCCTAGTAAGAATCCGCTCGGCCTACGCAAAGATGGCCTCGATGAAAAAAATAAACTTCATCACCGGCAACAAAAACAAGCTAGCAGAAGTGAAAGCGATATTAGGGACTGTGATCGACGTTGAAAATCAAGCAGTTGACCTTCCTGAGATACAGGGCACGATAGAAGAGATTGCCCGGGAGAAATGTCGACGTGCAGCAGAAGTGGTGAGTGACATCGCAGAAGGCAGAATCCGCACAGCTCAAAGACACTGACTCACTTCGGTCAGGTCGGAGGCCCGGTGTTGACGGAAGATACTGCACTTGAGTTTCACGCTCTTAACGGACTGCCTGGCCCATACATGTATGTCTTCCCTCACCTAAGCATACTAACTCTCCTAATAATTCTACCTAGCAAATCATTCCTCGATGCCCTAGGCCATGAAGGCCTGAATAAATTGCTTGACTCATTCGAGACCAGAGCCGCAGAGGCTGTCTGCACCTTTGCCTTTTCCAGCGGACCCGGTTCGGATCCAATCTTATTCCAGGGTAGAACTGAGGTAGGATTGAGTGCCAACTCCACCTACCCTGTCAGAAGCTGACGCATCGCAAGGGAGCTATCGTGAGACCAAGAGGTCCTGCGAATTTTGGTATGTACAGGCGACTATTAGTTACAAACATCAATGCTCACTAGCTCCTCCCAGGCTGGGATCCGATTTTCGAGTATCGCGGCAAGACTTACGCTGAAATGGACAAAGAGGAGAAGGTAATGGAATTGTCCCATCAATTTCTTCAATCAGCCACTAATACTGGAGCAGAACCTCATCTCACACAGATATAAAGCCCTGGTCAAGTTGCAAGATTGGCTGGCCGACAGACGTGATTGATATAAACTGCAAATTTCACGGTGCGAATTGGTGTCGGTTTCGGCCGCCCGCTCCCCCGGATTGCCGTAGGTAATTCGAGATCTCAGGCTCGGTCATTTTTCCAAGATTGTACCCAGCTAGAAATCCTTGCGCAATTGGACTCTACATCATCATCCCTCTCACTATTCAATTCAACCACTAATTCCTCGTCGAAGGCTTCTCGAGCTTCGTCAAGCAAAACACCAAATATTTCGGCATCTAAATTTTCCTGCAGCTTCGTCTCATTGTATCCCCTGTAAACCGATAAGCTTCAATTAGATTTTTCAGCTAATAATAAAGGGGGAGGGCGGGGGTGGGAGCGGATGGCTTATAGTCCTTGTGGTGTACCTTGATGCGAGACGATCATAATGAACAGCAGTAGATGGGCAGCGTAATACAACGACCAAATCAATCCATGACTTGGGGAATAGATCGCATGCATGCCAGTCAATTAGATAGCCACCCTGAAGTACTTGATCCTCGATAGCGTCCAGGAGCTGCAATATGTATGTTAGGTAAACGTGAGGAGGCTGGAAACCAGACTATATAAGCGTTACATGAACGTACTTTGTCCTCGTCCACAACCCAGGTTTGTAATTCGTGGTCATATGTCTCGTAGCAGTCTCGCTCTTTTGCGACATGGTTGATTGAAAGATGCCGCAGACCTGTCTCCTCGGCCAATTGTTCGCAATGGACGGTTTTTCCTACGCCGGGCGTGCCTGTTATTATCACATTTGGAGATGTCCGCATTATGCCTCATAAAAATGTGCGACGTGAATGAGTATTTCTTTCAATTTGCCCGATAAAGGCCGATAAAGTTTCAACAGTGAGGGGAAAATTTCCGTGGGGTAAGTAATCAGTACAGCTTCGGATTATCAAACTTCCCGATATCTCCATAAGTTACCCGGTGCTACATGATTCGTTATCGTTATCTAGTTGGTCGAAACTGCCGTGCTCATATAATTTATATATGCACGAATAGGCACTATAGTACTCAGAAAATGCTAGCTCATATGTAACCCTGATAAGGATAGTGATATGTAGACCTCGCCGGGTGGCTTGAGTTCTTACAATGTGGTACAATGCACGTCAAAACTCAAACCTGGTAACTTTCCTCTTGAGCATAATGCTACTTGTTGAGCTGACGTATAGCGGCTGCCTGACGAGTCATGCCCATGCTCATGATAGTGGGAAATGGCAAACTAGGCATGTCGTGATGTGCGCTTCACACTGGAAGGCCAAAGAACTGTTGCTGTTTTGCGGCTTGATGTCATGCCGCGCTAGTTTGCAGTGCTATTTGCTAGACGAATTGGCGGAATATTTTAGTCTGGAAGCAATCTGGTAAGCTATTACTGCATCGTCACCATATTGGTCGCCTCTTCTATCATACTTACTTTAGAAGCTCAAATGCCTTGTACTTCTGCAAATATGCTGTGCCTCGTCTGTATGCCTTCAATACGCGTGCAGGGTCCGACGTCAGTGCTTGTGCCCCCCTAAGGCGCTTCACTGCTGGGGGTGTTCGGAACATAGGATCGAAAACTAGTATGTCTGCGCTACCACCGTCACGTATTTCGAAGCCGATAATGGTCATGGAATGTCCTGTTATGTCCGTCCACCAATTAGACAGGTCACATATCACGAAGAAAGAGGTCTTCAAACCCTGGTGCTGGAAGTAAATGGGGGGCAAGTTCGTCTGCATGACTTTTTTCCCTTCCTCCAAAGCACATGATTCTCGAAAATAAGCCGCAACATTCATATATAATGCGTCATGTGCACGCACTTCCTTCGAGGCACCAATGCTGTTTGCTTCGCACCTGTGGGTTGTTAAAGCAGCGCTTCGCAATTTGGAGAAGGAGTCTTACTGTATGCCGAGACTCGAGAACAGGGCTTGTGCCTATAGAGTAATGAATCAATTGCAACCATAAGATTACGTTCATGGTCATCATACCTCTGGCGTGCCAATGTACTTCCTAGTTCCTCGGATACCTCCTGTTTCGACCCTCCCTACACTATTGAAACCCTTGTCCCACGCATCCTCGATCATATCTTGTAGTTGGAAGATCGTGGGTAGTTCCGTTGGGAAGCGCTCATGCCCCGGAAGTTGGGTTTCTTTCAAAAAGGTGATTAGCATTTGGATGTTCCTATAGCCGCAAAATCCTCCTTCTTTGGGGATCTTGGAGATCTGATGGACCTTTGGGCTGCAGAAAAAAGCACGTTGGACGGATTTGTCCTGCTCACACAACCGAGCGAGCACCGGGATGACATCGCGCGTCTCGTTTTCGACAGCTTCGCGCCTCCGAAGCGTGCCGTCTGAGGCAATTGTGTTTGTGAAGATTGACATAGAACCCCTCTCTAACATTCTTCGCAGCCATGATGGCATCTGCTTTTCGTGAGCATGAGGCCCTAACTCCGTACGCTAGGCTGAGTGTCAGCACAACGCGCTCTATGATGTATAAAGGGTAAGTGAGGTTTTCGTACTCCAAGCCGCTTAGCTGTATCTCTGTGCGGTGTTTTTGTGCCGCCGACCAATGACCACGGCGAGGGCGTTCTATCTTCATTGGGTAGCAGCCCGGGAGTGCGCTCTTTCAACCGTTCCCGTCTCTCTGCATCGTGGCTTGACACTGGACTCTCCACGTCAACAGGCAACTCTGGCTGGTGTGAAGATATGTCTTCAAAGGCAACTGTTTCCGCAAAATGCAAGTCGAGGTGGGCGGCGAGTTCAGTGTTGAGTACTATTTCCCCACAGCCGTGCGGACACTCGGCATAATCCCCTGGACATTCTCCTGTTCCAGTTGAAGGTGCATTTGCCGGCCGTCTGCTATGCTCAGCCTGAGTATCCACTTCAGGGTGATAAACATCCACATGCTCTACAACACGGCTAATGTCCGGATCAGAAAATGGACAAAAGGGACACGCTGGATCACTATAATTCATCTGGTCCATGGCAGCCAGTTTTTTATTGTAACCGCTCCAAGGATTACCTCAAGATGAAATGAAAACAGCTCCGCGTTCTTGTAAGTTATGGTTAGTATGTGTGTTTCAGCAACTAAGAAGAGGTGATTAGGAGCCGACTAGGGCCAGAAAGTAGACAAAATTGACAGTTGGCTAAATAGGCAACCATCGTAGGCCCACCTAACTCAACCACAAAATCATGTGCCAAGTAGGTTAGATGCGAAGATCGAGGCCCAACTGAGACAACTTATGTTAAAATGATATACAATCTATCTTTCCTTATCACCATTACTTAGTGGCCAAGAGCCCAACAATGAGAATGAATGAAAGTTTGGCCTTGCGGACTCTCTGGTATTATAAAACAATACCATTACGGGTAACATTAGCCTCATATCCATATCGGTTATTCTTCCCGACTTGCTACCAGCAAATCAAGATGTAGTTCGTTTGCTACTGTAAGTACTAAGGCAGGAAATACGGAGTATATTAATATTTCCGCCGATGAAATATTACTATCACAAAGTAGATTTGATGCACCCCTTCTTGCACATATCAGTAGAGACGAATCTGTCTTTCTGATGGTAAAACAGTACAGAGTATCATAATATCGATAACAGGTAGCATACTGAACGGATCTCATTGAAAAGTCACACCTCGCTAGTTCTATATTACAAACTGCTGTACATAGCAATACCAAGGGAAATTAGAAACGTGGGACCCTAAATGGGCGATACCATAATCCGCGACCTAACAGCCAAATCAACCACCTGTACTCTGCTGTTGAGCCATCTCCGTATGAGAGAGTCATTATACCTGAGCGCAAGCATGATTACAGGTATCATAGATTCGTCCTTGAAAAGAATTTTGATGCCTATAAAGCTTTTGTATTGACGGCCAAAAATGATCAGCCAGATAGAATGTCTAATACGATTTGTTATAGAAGAACATGATAGTTTAACATAGCACCAAGTGGTCCAACTGAGAATTCAAACTGTTTTCTGATTGATGCCATTCTCCCATCTCTTTGATATCTATGAAACGGGGCGTATGCAAACTCGGAAAGAACTAGACTGCTTTGGTACATTAGTACTTTTGTTCTCTGACTCAACGTTTATCTTCGATTAGTAATAATTGAGTTCTGATAATGTGTACCCGCAAAAGGAAGGCGGAGAAACAAAATGGCGAACGACCATTCGTTCTACATTTCATCGGCATGAGCTCCGCTTTCGCAACCCCGCCAGTGCACATAAAAAAGGCTGTCCCGCTACCGGAGCCAATTGCGTGGGTGTGTCATCTCTCAATTGCAAGGCTTCAACGTGCTGTTCGAGCGACCCAAAGATGGATGATCATCAGCAAAACCAGAACGATCCTTTGGAAGTTGCCAGGTATGAGTCAAAAGACTCACCGGATAGCAATTGGGTTGTGCAGAAGTTTGGAGGTACCAGTGTTGGGAAATTCGCATTGAACATCATTGACCAAGTGGTATTGTCAGTATAATCGCCCTCTGAACATCCTTCTAAATTTCGCCGTATTTGCTAACAACGGCTCTGAATCAGACCAAGTCTACTCGAACACCGCGTGGCTATAGTTTGTTCGGCAAGGAGTAGTTCAACGAAGGCTGCAGGAACCACAAACCGGTGAGTCATAACCCCTGTGTTTTAAATCCCAAGAGATCTTTACATAGCCTGTCCAGCTCCTGCCCGCAATGTCTCTACGACTTCCAGATCCTGTTAGAATAGAGTTACCATTCGGACTAACCTATTATATAACGCAGCCTTTTGCGAGCAGCACGGGATGCGGAAGACGCTCTATCACAAGAATATGCTTCCCTTGTTGAGGCAGTCCGGCTCGAACATATCCAGGTTGTTGACGAACAAATCCAGTCCAAGGTACTTAAGTCCCGGCTCATTTCAGAGATAAACAACGAATGCGACAAAGTACTTCGAGTCCTGGAGGCTGCACAAACTTTAGGAGAGATAAGCGCACGATGCGTGGATAAAGTGATTAGTACAGGAGAAAAACTCAGTTGTCGCCTCATGGCCGCTTATATTCAGGACCGCGGGGTGGATTCGCAGTACGTGGATCTAGCTGAGGTCATCGATTTTCCTATCTCGAATCAGGGTCTCGACCAGGACTTCTACAATAATCTCGCTGCAGCTCTTGGCCGAAAGATTCGGGCCTGTGAGAACAAAGTGCCAGTTGTTACTGGTTTTTTCGGAACCGTACCTGGTGGCCTCCTCGATCAAATTGGCCGCGGTTATACTGATCTTTGCGCCGCCCTCGTTGCTGTTGGAATAGATGCCAAGGAACTCCAAGTCTGGAAAGAGGTTGATGGAATATTCACCGCAGATCCCCGGAAAGTGCCTACTGCACGCCTTTTACCTGCAATCACACCAGCCGAGGCAGCTGAACTGACATTCTATGGTTCGGAGGTGATCCATCCCTTCACTATGGAGCAAGTCATCCGTGCCAAGATTCCAATTCGCATAAAGAATGTTATGAACCCAAGAGGTGATGGCACCGTGATCTTTCCAGACTCCACTTTTGAACTGGAGAAAACAACCCCAGGTCATGATCCGAGACTATTCCGTACCCGCAGCCCTAGTCTTGTGCAGCGGCCTAAACGCCCAACGGCGGTAACGATCAAGCACAAGATATTGGTGATTAATGTACATTCCAACAAACGTTCGCTCTCACATGGATTCTTCGCTGGGATATTCTCCGTCCTCGACAGGTGGAGACTTTCTATCGATTTGATATCTACAAGTGAGGTTCATGTCTCGATGGCTCTTCATTCG